GGGGGCGGGGCTGGGCGAAGAGAAGGTTGGGAATAGCTGCTGAAGCCTGGGAGGCGAGAGTGGGTGCAGGACTGAGGGGTGGGCCTGGGACTGAGTGGGCGGGGCCAACGCGAGAAGAATTCGAAGGACCGGGGCTCCAGGAGAATGGGACGGAGCAAGGAGAGACGAGCGGACCTTCAAAGGAGGCCCAGAGGAAGGAATCTGGAAAAGAGGGCAGAGCTAGCCTTGATCTCGGACGCAGTGAAAAGCGACCCCTAATTTCGCCCGTGGAGTACCCCTCAAACCTGTTCTCTCTTCTCTCCCACAGGAAGCTACGTCGACTACTTCTCCTCGTCCCTGTACCAGTAAGTGTGTGGAGGGGGTAGTTTAAGGGCCCTGCTTAGACAGGCGCTGTCCGGGTGAGTTACTGGACGACCCTGGGACTCCGTTTCCCCGTCGGTAAAATGGGAAGGTTAACGATCCCTCAGCGCCCTAGGGTGAGCTTTGGACACTTCGGTTGTCTGACCTCTGCACCCTCCGCTCCAGGGCCCTGGCGGACATGCTGGAAACTCCGGAACCCTGACCCGGCCGCGGGATGGCGGCGCAGACGTACCTCCCTGGCCCCCCAACACCTTTCCACAAGCCATATTTATTTCTCTGAATAAACGCGCTCCCCGAAACCTATTGTCAGGCGTAGGGTCTGGCCTCCCGGGGCACTGCGAACGGAACGCGGGTGGTGACTGGGCACTTGCACTCGTGGGTCTGAGGGAGGAGGGCCTGGGCTCCCGGTCCTCGAGGTGGTTTGTTTGTTTAGGGTCCTGATAAATAAATCGGTCAACACGGGAGCTTTTTGAAACAGTTCTCTTTACCCGTGATCACTGAGTGACGCCTGAGGCAGGGAGGCCGACAGAGAGTCTGGGGCGAGGGCTCCCCCACCGCCCTCCCTCCCCCCACGCCACATCGCCCAGTGGCATCGTGGAAAGAGGATTCTCCCATGCAAACCCCGGAGCCGGAGGGGAACGGGGAGCGCACTTCTGCGCCCCCTACCCCAGGGGCACGGACACGGCCACAGCACGGGGGGCGGAGGGGCCCCGGGGACACGAGACACTGGGGAGAGGGACCCCGCCCACAGCTGACCCCCAGCAACCGGAGACCGGAAGGAATGGGGCGGGACTGAGTGGCACGGGGGGCGAGGCTTGTAGCAGCGAGTCCCCCCTCCCCTCCTTTCGGACGAGGAAGGACGACTTGGGCCCCGCGACTGGGGAGAAAGGGGAGGGGGCAGCCTCTCCTCGCATGCGGCCCGGGAGGAAAGCCTCGCCCCCTTCCCGCGGGGAATGGGCACCCGTCTCCCACCGGGAACTGATCAATAAATTACAAAGTAGAGAAAAGGGAGGTGGAAGTTTGGGGCGGGATTTCTTTCTGCCCTCTTCTTTCCCCCTCTCGGTCCAGTTCATGTGGTTTGGTCCGGGCCCAGTCCATTTGTGAGGCGGGGACGCGCGCTCCCCTCTAGTCTGTGAAGATGGTCCAGGCCGCGCGAGAGCCCGGGGCCGCGTTGCCGGCGAGACCACGCTCTGGGCCGGAGGGAAAACAGCCCAGCCTCTGGGAGACTCTTCCATCCGAGGGAGGTCACCTGCATCGACGCCGGGCAGGCAGTACGTGGAGCAGTGAAGATCCATTGTGCCGCCCCATTCCCCAAGGTCGCCCAGGACAGTCCTCACCTGGAGGCCTGCACTAGCAGGAATAGGTCCGCACGGAAACGCCGTCTGCCCGGGAGTTCCCGGAAGTCTGGCCTGGAGGGAAAGCGAGCAGCGGTTCAGCCTAGAGCGAGCAGCGGTGCAGCGCGCGCGCAGACGCACGCACGCACACACGCACGCACACGCCCCGTCCTCCCAGGGCTTCTCCAGTCCTCAGCCCCCAGCTTCCTTCCTTGGAATTCCCCTTCCGAAATGACAGCTACAGCCTGAGTTTTCGCCGGTTTCCCTCCCTTTCCCCGCAGCATTGGATTCATCCAGGGTGCCCCAGGTGACACTAGGCGAGTTCACTTCCCACCCGGGAAAGGGGTGCGAGATTAAGCCATTCCACACGCAGAAGAGAGTTGGCATGCTGGAGCGGTCCATTTGTCATGAGTGGGAGAGAGTGGGCTGGGCCATTTCACAGCCTGGAGGGGGAGGCCTCCGGAATGTTGAGCTGGCCCTTGTCCCATCCAGAAGAAGGGGAAGGGAGGAAGGACTGCCGCTCTGGGAGGGCCGCCCACCTTCAGATTGCAACTTTCGAAGAGGGAGTCCCGGAGAGCCCAGGGCCCCTGCTGCAGCGGAACGAAAGTTGGGGGGCAACATCTCAGCGGAGTCGGGGGTTACGCCTCGGAGGTCCTTCTCTCGGAACATCTTCCGCCAGGATGGGGAGCGGCTGAAGGACTTGGCGCTGTCCTAGGTACACGGGCCAGGCATCCAGCGTGGGACCAGGGTTCTGACCCCGCCCTTCCTTTGACTCCACCCCTCTCCGTATCTCGCAGCTTCTTCAGCCTCACCCCATCCCGTCCCCGCCTCCAACCACATCTCAGCAAAGCCAAGCGGGACCCCTTCAGCTCCGCCCCTGAAGGTGCTGCTGCTGCGCCCACCTCGTCCAGCCGCCTGTCTGTGCCCAAGGAGATGAGGTTACTGAATTCCTTTTCCAGGAGCTGCCGGGCCTGGGGAGGAGAGGTGGGAGAGGGGTTGCAGCCCGCAGACTGCGAGGTGGGGATACCCAATATGACCCGGGCCAAGCAGCAGCTCACCTGTGCATTCTGCGTGGGGATCTGCAGGAGCAAGGCCAGGTCGGAGTAGTCAAAGGTCTCGTCCAGGGCCAGCAGCGCCCCGTGCACCCCGCTCTCCGTGAGGTTCGTGGCAAATTCCTTCAGTCCCAGTCCAGACACCCAACCCATGACCCGCTCATTGGACCACACCATCACATCTGAGGACCAAAGGGATCCTCAGCTGCAGGCCCATCCAATTTAGCCCATACCTTCACCCCCATTTCCTCTTTCCTGGCCATGCCCCATATACTGGCTCCCCCTCTCCCCCCATGGTTTATGGTTGCGCTTTTCTTCCCTGGCCCCTCTCCGCTCCTCTAGTCACCCTCTCTTCAGCCCTGCCCCAAACCTCTCCACCTGGCTCCCAGAAGGACTCTTACACTCTGCTACTTACCTCGGATCTGGGTCTGACTTTCTTCCCGCCTCCTCTCCAAGTCTTTCCGGTCATAGTTGAGCCGTTTCAGGCACATGATCCCATAATGCAGACTCACCCTGAGCAGCACGGGAAGTGAAGTCACAAATGAGCCTTCACAACCCCAATGACTGCTGCTCCTATTGGGCCCTCCCCATTGACTGTGGTCTCCTGGGAGAGGTCAGAGAGTTGTTCCATTGGGTCAGTGCTAGTGATTGCTGACCTTCTCAAAGTTAGAGTATTTTCAACAGGCAGTTCCTATTAGCAAACCTGTAAGGGGTGTGGAGTCAACTAGCCAAGCTGTATCAGAATTTGGACTTTTCCTAGTGGACCATCTTATTGATATGAGGCGCACAGGAGTCAATTTCCTGAGAATCCAGGCTAAAGGGCCAAAGATACCCAAAGAATTTCCCATCACCAGTCCCATTGGCCAAAGACTTGATAGGAGTGTGGCTTCCCCTTAGACTGTCCCCACTGGCCAAGCAGTCCCCACCTGTGGAAGCTGTCCACCATCTTGAGTTGGCCCCGGAGCTCCTTCTTGTTAAGATGATCTAACATGCGGGCATCCACCAGCGACTCCATGAAGTAGCTGCGGTATTGGGGCAGCCCCAGGCTGGGCAGCCAGTCGTTCCCCACCCACTCGTGGTTCATGTCGCCATATGCCAGGATCTGGGGCCATGGGCAGGTGGAGGAGGGGTCAGTTCCTCTGACCCCTTCCCATGTATGTACGAAAGGGTACAGTCTAACCCCCCAACCCAAGGTGGTTCTTTTTCCACCCCATAGCGGGACAATGGCCAATCTCTGTCAGGACAATGGACCAATCCAAAGTTGTCTCCTACTCCTTCATAATGACAGAACAGACTCTTGTCTACTCAAAGTGTGGTCCTTGAACCCACAGCATCACTATCACCTGTGAATTTTCTGGGATTGCAGAATCTCGGACCCCAGCCTACTGAATCAGAATCTGCATTCTCACAAGATCCTCAGGTGACATGAACTGTGCATTAAAGTTTGAGACGCACCAGTCTAGCATTGTCCCAACTCAACAACAGATCAGTCCAATGTCACTACTGCCCCAAGTCAAGACTGGATTCTTCCAACACAGCTCTCCCCACAGCAGAGAGTAATGGACCCATCCATCACTCTTGCACTGTCCAGAAAATACTAGTTTAATGTGTACCTGGTCCAGGACAATATTCTGGATCAGCCCAAAGTCCTTCACTGACTTTAGTATAAGGAAACAATCCATACCTCCCCCTGACCAGAAACAGAGCCCAGGCCAACACAGTTCCTCCACCTCAGGTGAGTTCATGCCTCCACCTTCTTGAGAACAAAGTGGAGATCCTCCTCCCCAACTTCTCAGCCTGATGTGCTGCCTGGTCCCTAAATGCTTTCCCCTGTGCCCAGTACACTGGGACAATCCTTTCCCCTCAACCAGCGGGAAAAGGGGGCACAGAGTCTCCCTTTAGTCATAGCAATAGAACCACCCCTGGGGGGCCCCGCAACCCACCATAATGGAATGGCCCGTGCACCACGCCAACAACTAACAATGGAACCACCGGGCTTCCACAAAGACCCCCACCAAGCCACAGCGAGACAGTCCAGAGCCGAGCTCCGCACAGCGACCCCCCGCGGTGGTGATGAAAGGTTCCAGCGAGGGTAGGGGCGGGGCTCGGAGAAGAAGGGGCTTCCATGCAGCGTGCACAGCCTGTTCATGCGCCCACGTCCCCCCTGCGCCCCCTACCTGCTCCCAGCTGATCTCCTTGGTCTCCTGACCCGTTAGTGGGAAGAGCGGAGAGAAGGGATGGGTTAAGGGGCAGGTGAAAGAGGGCGGGAGGAACGAACAGACGGACAGACCGCTACAGACTCGCCTCCGCCCTGCCCCTCCCTCCCGAGAGAGAATTAGTGCCACCCTCAAGGCTGCCGGCAGGGGGCACTCACAGGCTTAGTCGTGGCCGTAAGGGACTCCATCTCCTCGTGTGTCATCCACACGTTTCCTGTGGACTGAGGGGCCGGGGACGTTATGGAGGGTGAGAGGGCTTCCAGATAGGGAAAGGGAGGGGGTCGTGCTCCTGGAGGCTCAGGTCATGTACAGTTATACACATTCTACTTTCTGGCTCAAAAAGGCCAGCCACTGCTTGGGCAAGACAGTGACAGAGAAAAGGAATGATTGTTTATTGAGCACCTGCTGTGTACCAGAACTTGGGCTTTGGGGTTGGACAAATTCAGGTTTCCACTGGGGACCTGCTGGGCATTTTGCCTGTGGCCCTGTACCAATGACATCACCTCTCTTCACACAAATGTACAGAAAAGATTGAGAGTGAGGTGGCAGATATAGCAATAGGGCAAATGTTCAGGGGAGTGGGGACTTGTATTCACACTTACTGAGCACCGGCTCCCACCAACCCCAGGAGTTAGGAATTCATATATGGATTCAAATATTTATGCCCTGGCTGGGTTGCTCAGTTGGTTGAGCATCG